CGCCGGTCAGTCCCCGTGCGGCCGCCCCGCCCCGCGACAGCAGGCCCCGCCCACCACCGAGTCCCGCCCGCGCCGCTCAGTGTGCTAAGCCCCGCCCTCTCCCGCTGGGGCCCAAAGATTGGCAGTTTTTTTCTCCTCCGCGACCGCGGGAGCTAGTAGAGGCGCAGAGGGAGGACAAATTGGGGCACGAAGGATGCATGCAGGTCCGGGTACGGAGAACTGGGGCGCTGGGTACATCATAGTGGGGCGGGGCTCTGGCGAGGAGGGGGCGGGCAGAGCGTACTCTATGGAACTCAGATGCGCCAGCCCCCAGAAACTGGGAGCAGGGGAATTCCTGGGAATGGAAATTGAGGGAGAGTTCCCTCTACAGGACCGGAAGGCGACCAGAGAGAGATGGCCTGAGTGCGTCTCAGCGAACGGGAAATCAGCAAAAGTCTGTCTTGGCCAGCGCCTGCAACCTTTCTTCTTGCAGGAGTCTGATTGATACGTGTGCTCTAAGTAGTGGGTTTGTGCTATCTCAGTTATGATGTGCAGTTCTTGACCGTGTCTTTTTCTGTGGGATACAATTTACTCCTGTATAGAACATGTAATTCTATAGTCGATGCTGAGAAAACACTGTAATCTATCCGACACCTATATGTCAATACTAATTTGAGACACTTAGTTACACTATCGAGAAATGTAAGAAGCAGTTATGATCCCTGGGTAGAAGAAAGGAAGAAGGGGGCTACAGTTCTTTCTTCTGTGAGTCAGTGGTATGTGGGAGAAGTGCCCAGTTGTACTTGGCTCTTAAAATAATTCATATTTCTCTCTGTGTCTCTCTGTCTCTCCTCTGTCTCTCTGTCTCTGTCTCTGTCTCTCTCTCTCTGTGTGTGTATGGACTTGGTACTTGCTATTCTGACCTGACTGTCCCTTTTCCATGGTGGTTAACTGTGGCTATTGGTCAAAAAACGATATTTACCCACGAGTCTTCAATATGTCTCCCTAACAGAAACTCACTGCAAAGCAGTGGTCCAGACGACTACTACTGGAATAACGGAACTTAATTGTGTAGGAGCTTGGGGTGGTTGGGAGATCTGTTGAAGGATGTTTCCTGAACTGGGAAAAAGGTTAGAAAAAGCAACAATGTAAAACAATTAAGCATTGACAAGGACTGCTAATTCAATGTGGAAAGGATAGAATCTTTTTAATGTGGTTACAATTAGAAAATGGATACACCAAGAAACCTGCGCTGCTAGCTCCAACCGCAAAGCACAAGATAGTTTTCCTCAGAGGCAGTGAAAAAGGCACTCCCTACGCAGTGACACCTACACACAACACTCCAGCAGTGTTGTCTTTAATTACAGAATGCAGTGTATAAACCCACAGTCTGCATTTGCGGAATCTGGAACTTTGAGGCTTAGTTTGCTTTTTCAGGGTCAACATTGATACACTTTCGCAGCAAGTGACATTCTGTTCGTTGTTCCTTCCTGCTCATAATGACTTTGCATTCAGTTTTGCAGTGTTAACTTCTTATTTTTTCCTTTGGAGTTATAGTGAGAAAAACTAGAAAAGCTTGACAACCAAATCAGATACAGTGACAATAAGTGGATACTAATCTAAAGTAGACAATCTCACATGCCATTTCTTCTCCCTTCTGCTAATACATTACTTGTTCTATGCCTGAGTCTTTTCTAATTAATTCTGATTTAAAATGATTTATTCCATCACTTCAGCAGAAGCAGTCAAAATACCCTTTGCCACCTGGCCCACGAAGGCTACCCTGTATCACTTGCTCTCTTTCAGCTCTCCCCTACACTGGACTTCTCTCTCTGTGTCCACATACCAAGGGTCCTGTATGTGGCATGCAGCTAGCTTTTCACACAGCTGACTTCTTCATCACCTTCCCTAACTATCCTATGGAAACCTCCAGTCCTCTCTCAGTTCCTCACTTTCAGCACTAAGCAGCCATCTCCAGCGTCTCAGATTCCCTACTGTCATTTAAATGTAAGCCCTGTGAGATAGAATGCTGCTTACTGAGATCACTGCTGAGTCTCAGTGTCTGATACTTACTGTATCCATCACAGAGTAGTGACTCCACGTAGGAGATAATTTATTTTTCCTTTTGTAACTGCCAAAGACTTTAATATATTTAACCTCTTTGAACTGTATGATTTAGACATATTAATAAAGTCTGAAACACAGCCCAATTTTATTCTGTTTAATTCTAGAATTGAAAAGCTGGTTTTGACCTACTGTAGCAATAGTAAGCAATTGTGTTTGAAGAAACAATTACAGTTAAGGTTCTATGTCTAGATCTTATAACCTGCCGAGCAAAGACATCCACAGAATCAAAAAGTAGTGACCAATAAAAGTCTCAATATTGCCGGGTGGTGGTGATGCATGTCTTTAATCCCAGCACTCAGGAGGCAAGGGCAGGTGGATCTCTGTGAGTTTGAGGCCAGCCTGGTCTACAAGAGCTAATTCCAGGACAGCCTCCAAAAGCTACAGAGAAACCCTGTCTCGAAAAACCACAAAAAAATCTCAATATTTGTCCATGAAATGAAACAATATAACAATGATTACAAGTGGAATAATTGAAATAGAATCTTATTGCTGATAACTGACAGATGGAGTTAATACAGTGTCCTTTGTGAGAGCTCAAATAATTTTAGTTAATAATAAAAAATTGAGATGAATTGTTAGTGTTCAAAATATACTCCAAAATGAGAGAACCCCAAAATTAATCTCAGCGACAAAGAGCTGTTTTCTAGCACTCTCTCTGCTATCTGTGCTTCAACATGAGCGGGTCTAGTCCAAACTGTCCCATGGAGACACAGAGATGTTAAGACCCACATTCTACTGATGTCCCAAACTGGGAGGAAGACATGTTTCAACTGGGCCAGCAAGATGGCTGAGGGGAAATGTGCTTTCCATGCAGGCCTTATAGCCTAAGTATCTCCAGAGCCCACGGTGAAGGGAGAGGCTTGCCTTCTTCAGACAGTGCACTGACTTCCACAGGTACACTTTGGCAGATAAATAAAAATATAAAAATCAATAATAGTAATAATGACGATGATGATAAAGCTGGGTATGATGGCACACACCTTTGATCCCGAGGCAGAGCTAAGAGGATCTCTGTGAGTTTGAGGCCAGCATGGTCTGCGTATGGAGTTCCAGGTCAGCCTTGCCGGCGGAAGTGTGTTCCTTGGGGCAGGCTTTGAGAGCTCACTCCCCTTCAACTTTGCTCTCTGCCAGCGGTTGATGGTGTTTCCTTAGATTCCTGTTCCAGTTGCTTCCCCGGCCATTATGGACTCCCCTCTGTCATGTAAGACAAAATAAACACTCTCTTCTATAACTTTCCTTGCTTATGGTAGTTACCATAGCAACAGAAAAGTGAGGCAACCTGGTAAGATCATTTTCCTGCCTTTCCTGTGAAAGCCATGGATCTTACCCCTGGCCTGGGAGAGGCTAAAGCCCCTTAGTTCTCTAGGTTAGACAGATAGGGTCTAGTCCCTGTCAAATCCCAGAGCATCAGCTCAGTTTCCTGGGAAGCCTCATTCTTTACATGTGGAAGAAGGGTAATTTTCTCTCCTTGTAGCCTGCAGAACATTTACCTCACAGCTTCTCCACACAGTGCTGAGGACATGGGGAGGAATATACATTCTCTTACAAGCCATGGTCCATTCACCCACCCATAAGTAGGTCTCTCTACAAGACCACACTTTGCGCCTTGGAGGTGGGGCTACAGGACCCTGGTTAACTTGCTTCTGTGACTATTTTCTGACAATATGGCCTTCATGCTGCTCACCATAGCCGGGCTTGAGGCTCCTCGTGGTCTAACTAAGCCCTGTTTGTCACTCCAGCCCTGCGCCCATCCTGAATGGTTTGCCTCATCTATACCACATTCTTTCTCCCACACTAAGGCCTTTCAATCTGCTGTCTCCCTTCCCCTTTCCCCAATATCTGATGGCCCTAAAGACGGCTCCTGTCTCGGTGATCTTTATCTGAATCACTCCAAACTTGCTGTGTTCTTCCTATGTGCTCCAACAGTACCCAGGGTGCCTCTCTCTGTTGTGGCATTTATTGGCTGTGAATGTGGGTTTACTTGAGTAGTGAAGAATGTCTACTATAAGAACTCGTAAATATTTTATAAATTGATGAATGAGAAATACCCTTGGCCTATAAACCATTGAAAATCAGAAACTTGATAGAATAGGACCATTTTCCCCCTGAGCATTATAACACAGACAGACAGACTCTTTCTTCTAATTCATAGTAGTATACCACAAGGTCCATGAAATTTTAGGAGGTTTTAAATTTATTGTTCCATCATCTTACAAGGATGAGGGGATGAGCACGAAGTGCTTGTGTTTGTTTTCATGGATTAAAATAATCATCCTAACTTCTCAATGTGCTTGTTATACACTGTAAAAAAACAAAACAAAACAAAACAAAACAACAACAACAACAAAAAAACGGTTGAAAGGCTACTGGTTAATGTTGCTGTCTCATGCGTTAAAGACTGTTCCAGAGTGTTGCTTTGTGTTTGGTATATCATTTCCTGATGATTATCTAACAGACGGGAACAAGCAGCTTTGGTTTCTGTTTTCATGTTCTCTGAGAGCAAATCCATAGCTACTATGTACACGTTTACAGATTTAGAGTTGTCGCTGTGTATGCCAGTGGCCCGCCTGCAATGTTCCCGTCAACCGACACCTCCCAAGCACATGAAGAGGTCCACGGCCCAAGAGACACAGTGCTGCTCATTCTGGAAAAGCGAATGAACAGCGATGACTCAGAACCACATAAACCAAGAACTGCTCGTTGGTCTTCACGCTTCCTCTTTCACCTCCATCTTGCTCATCCCTTCAGCACGCACACCCTCTGCCTTCACACTTACGCCCTGTAGCCAGTGTCTATACTTAGCACAGAGCTCTTGGAGAAAGATTCTGGCTGTGTAATAAGCAGCTGACCTGAGATACAAAAACATTGGGTGCCTGGAAGGTGGCACACTGCACACATCTGAAGGTAATCAGGCAAAAGTCTACGCGATACCAAGGAGAGGCAAAACAATGCCTTTCAGACTCTGGCCCAACCCCAAGAAAGTCAAGAAACGCTGTCATTAAGATTCAGAAAGCCTCTCTTGTTGCAGCCAAGTTTTTGTTTCTGTTGCTTTTAAATCTGAGCCTGCAACTATTGAACCTGATATTTTCAGACTGAGCCATTGATTTTTTTTTTTTTACTTTATCAAACAATTGACGGTGGTTACATCGTTCTAGCATTGTGAAGGATGTTTTGATTATGTATTTCCACTCCTGTTATGCACACACCTAAGATAAGGCACTTCGGTATCAAAGGAGTTAGTTATTCAAAGCTTTGTGGCCAGAGGCTGGAATACCTCAGGGACACGGAACTCATTACAGACAGACAGTCCCTTCAGACAGACAGTCCCTTCGGAGGGTACTAGCTGAGCAGGCAAGAAGGCGGCTCCAACAGGTTCTTTGGAACCTGCAGAGGCTGTTAGGACAGCAGGGTTTGTTAATAAAAACAAGCCTGTCTTTCCAGTCACAGGTGACTTGTGTGGGGATGGTGTCCACACAGCAGCCGGTGTGTGTGGTCTGGATATAAATAAGTCTATCCCCGAAGAAGCTTAAATGAGAGAGCCTGGGGTAGCTGCCTAGTTCTGAGCATTATTGGCACAGTGATGGTGGGTCAAGCCAGATTTCCCCCTCTGAGGAAGAAACAATGATTCCCAGCCTGAGGTCTGTGCCCAGCACCTCAGGGCACCTGGGAGACAGGCCCAGCACCTTTCCTGGTTCTCTGAGGAGCTGGCTGTGCTTCCAAGGCTGGTCTGCTGACTCTCTCCGCCACTGAAGGGTGAGATCCCTTGTGCTCTGGTGTGCTTTACCCTGACCTCACTGCAGTCACGGGCGATGATGCAGGAGGAAGTTTTCTGTCATCTCTTGTTCACCTGTTTGGAGGCTCTGAATTTCTAGTCAGTGCTGTTTAAACTCCTGCCCAGCAAATATGTGCCAGCCTTGGGAGCAACATTTTAAGTCCTTTCTCAATAATCTCCATTTCTAAAACAGCAAAAAGGATAGTAGGGAAGAGAAAGAAGGAATGGGGAGAATGTTGTTACAGGTTTCATATAGTAAAATCTACTCTTTCTAGAGCACGGTTCCAGAATTTTAACTAATATACAGTTGCCACAAACACCAACATAGTCATGGAACATTTTTATGATATAACAAGTCCCTTGTGTCTCTCTGTTGCCTATCTCCTATGGCAACCACTGATCTGTTTTCTGTCCCTGTGGTTTAAATCTTGTCCCAAGTGGCACGTGAATGGAATCATATAAGGCCCGTAAGCATTGCAGCTCGTTTGGAAAGGTATTCTGGCAGTCGGGAGCCAAGGGATGCCACAAAGTCATTGTAAGCTAGGAGCTAAGGGCTGTGCTCCAGGGAAGGATTTCCCCAGTGCAAGTGTACCAACTCTGCTCAGGCAGGGGAGGGTTTCCCCAGCGAAGTTGTTACAGCTCTGTTCTGCTAGGAGAATGTTTCCCCAGCCAAACTGCTCCACTATAGCTCCAGAAACAGTTGCTACAGCTGGGCGCCCCTCTGCCCTGCCGAAGGTGTCACACAGCACAAGAAACCTCACTCAAGGGCTTTATTGGGAAGGAAGCACCCAGGAGGGTGGCTGGCTCTAGGGTGAGAACGGAGTACAGAGCTTATACAGGGTTTCTTGGAGGGGGCAGAACTTTTCAGGGTGGCTAGGGATTGGTGAAATTTTGTGGGCTGATTCTGGGAAAAGCTCAGGGATTGGTGCAATTTCAAGACCTGATCCTGGGTCAGGGTCAGGGTGACTTTTTTCCTTGGCCCCTTTCTTTCCTTTTTTTTAAAAAAATATTTATTTATTTATTTATTTATTTATTTATTTATTTATTTATTATGTATACAATAGTCTGTCTGTGTATATGTCTGCAGGCCTGAAGAGGGCATCAGACCTCATTACAGATGGTTGTGAGCCACCATGTGGTTGCTGGGAATTGAACTCAGGACCTTTGGAAGAACAGGCAATGCTCTTAACCACTGAGCCATCTTTCCAGCCCCCTCCTTGGCCCTTTTCATCCTACAGGGTGTCCTAAGCATCTTCATATGGCCTACCTGTGCCTACTCCATCCTCTACTAGTCCATTTTTCCTCATATTTTGCCTGTTTCTTTTTTTTTTTTAATTTTCAGAGCATGGAGCATTGCCTGAAAATCATTTATTTTCATTATCTACTCGATGTCTGTCTTTCTTTTGGGTATTCATTGGCACTAGGAAGTGGAACAAGGATTTCGCCTGTCTACCACTGAGTCTCCAAGTGAAGCAAACGAAGTGTGGAGTAAATATTTGTTGAATGAAGCACAATGTGAGTGAAGCGAATGGAGATTCCTGGGACCCTCTCCGTATTCAGACAGGCCTCGTTAGGAAGAGATTATTTTTCCTTACAAAACGTGTTAATTGAAGCATTTGTCTGTTGCCAAAGTAGTTTGGTTATCTGAGAATAATACAATTAGAAGACATAAGGATGATGAATTGTGTCTTCAAATTCACCTGGATGGTGAGATTAGCCAGGACTGAACCGGCCTGAAGTGAGGACAACGGCAATAACTCTTCCCTGGGGTTGTTATGGGCATTAGATGACTGAATGGACATGAAGTGTTTACTGCAGCGGTTTTCAACCAGGAACTGTTTTGTTCCCCCAGGGGCGACGGCACTGTCTGGAGAGAATCTTATTGTCAAAACTGGGAAAGAGAGGACAGTTCCTGGAATCTGCTGAAGATCACAGAACGTGCAGCGTGGTGATCCACAGCAGAGAACTATCATTGGGGCCAGTGACCAGAAACCCTTGGTGAATGTGCGGTCAGGCTTGACGTAAGGGCTGCATTTGTGTGTGTGTGTGTGTGTGCGCGCGTGTGCAATTGCTGACGTTACAACAGAGGTGTTGGATTGCCCCCAAAGCTGGGGTTACAGGTGTTCTATTGGCATCTCTGTGATGGTTTAGATAAAACACTGCAGTTCCCCGAGGGGCGGCAGTTGGCAGCAGGCCACGAGGGGTGGCCAGTCCCATCACCCAAGGCCTTTGTGGGTCCCAGGAGGTTGGGAGGTGGTGGGTGAGACCTTGCGGGTTGACTGGGCAGCCAATCCCACAAGGAGTCACAGAGGGTGAGAGACAGAGATGGATAGGTATGCCATGCAGAGTGAGTTTGGATATAGTTTATTCAGTGAAAAGAAAGGGGGGAGGGGGAGAGGGAAAGAGGAGGCAGGAGCCACAGTAGCAGCCACATCTTCCAGAGAGCAGGCTGGAAGTGGAAGGAAGATCTGCTTGCCTCAGCGGAAGGGGAGAGTGGGTGGGGCTTGTTTCTTAAAGGGACAGGGCAGACTATTACAATCTCCAATTCATTCCTGCTTGACCTGGAAAACCCCATTCCTGTCTCTCTCTTCAAACCCCACTTACTCAGAGAGTTTCTGAACAAAGGGAAGGCGCCAAAAAGTCCAGTTCCGCATTATTGGTGGCTTCAGCAGCTTCCTCCCTTGAAGTCACTAGCAGCCCAAGTCCCTGCCTAAAATGTTCAGCTTTTGACCATATTCGGACATAAACCTAGCTTGTGGTGAACATGTCATCACTCCTTACCTACAAGCTATAAATCTCCCTTCTTTAGTTCCAGTGGTGGCTTCTCTGGCCTTAATATCTGGGACTGGAGAACCCACTCGGGAGTTGCTTTGCTCCAATAAGCCTGCTGTTACATTTTTCAGTTTGACTTGATCTCAGTTTATTGCATTGGCAGAGAAACCTATGATGGGGGCGGGGGACAGAAAACCTATTAACAGACAGTCGTGAGCTAGGTGGTGGGAACTGAACTCTCATCCTCTGGAGGAGGGGTGCAGGCTCTCAAGGCTGAGTCATCTTTTCAGCTCTGAGCTATTGAGCTATTATTTTAGATGTGATCCTTCCTGGCAAAAGCTCTCTCCCCAGGCTGAGAGTACACTGTGCATTGAGTCTGAATTCAGATTCTCTGTGTCTGAAGCTCAGCACAACCCTTAGCAGGATGTCCTTGAGTGTGCAATTTGACTTCTTTACACCCCTCTATCAGAGTAGATTAATTACAATAACTGCTTCAGGGGGTCGGATGCAATCGTCTGTACAAAGCACACAACACTGCGACAGTCCATAGGGAATGTTCAACAAATGTCATTTGCTATTGTTTCTGATGCTAAAAAGATCTTCCCACAGAATGTAATGAAGAAATTGGGAATAGTTTCCACTAGGGGAGACAAATGGGAAATGTTGCTCACATAAAGTATATACTGGCATTAATTTCACATAACCATAGATAACTACATAGAATTCAAATTCAAATAAAGCACCATAAGACTGTTCGGTCTTTGGATGTGTAGAAAAATCAAAACCAGAATATTCAACTATCTCTTCCCACCCAGCCTTAGGATGAACACTCCTGTGTCACTGCCTCCGGAAAGGGAACCTCCTTCCTTCCAGCGGCTTCCTCCACAAAGTACCTGCTGCTGAGCAGAGTCACGGGAGAAGACCAGAGTGGCCCTTCAAGTCTGGCCAATGAAGGAAAAACATTAATTTGAGGATGACAGAATGAGCGTTTCAGGATCAGTCTGAATCCACATCCTGAAGTTACTGTGAGGAAAGAACAAAGTGTCTCTTTTGGGGCTAAAGGCACCACACCCAAGTGCCATTGTTCCCCAGTACGACGGCCACCCATTGTGCTCCTGGACTCCTGGGCTCGGCACAGTGATGTCAGACTTCTTTCACAATATTTAGCACACCTGTCCCTTAAGAATCCCACGATGGCTCTGGTCTGGGGTTCCTTCTTCCTTTTGTATCTGGGTTAGAATGCTCTTTCTCTATTTAAATTTTCTGAGTTCTAGTTTTGAAAACCCACAAATATTATAAAATATGAAATGGTAGGAATGAAAAATAGCATGGGCTCCAAGAACCGGAGTATGAGCTCGTCAGCGGGATGGCTTACACATCACTTTACCCTCAGCCACAAGCAACCACTGCAAGGCCCACCGCAAGGTTACCCAGTCATTACAGCTAACTGTCAGGTTTGAAACAGCAGCCCACACCAACACCAAGCTTGGCTTTCTCCCTGAAAGAAGTCCAACTATTTCAACAGTAGAACTGCATGCAAAGCAGATTCGGAAGGATCATAATTTCTCTAGACAGTGGAGTGATGTCTGCCAAGTAACACTGAAAGATGAACTACACCTGGATACCTCCAAGAATCCACAGAAGCACTTTCTTTTCAAACTTGCCCAGAATCAGAACCCTAAGATCCTTTGTAGTCCCTGGTCACAGGCTGGCAACACAGGACATCTTGAACTTAAGTAGCTTTTACTACTGAAGCCAGCCATGGAGACTTCTCATGACTCTTAGTTTTAGAAATGACTAAAGAAGCTGTGGCAGTTTGGATGTAATTGGCCCCCACAATCTCACAGGGAGTGGCACTATTAGGAGGTGTGACTTTGTTGGAGTGGGTGTGGTCTTGTTGGACGAAGTGTGTCACTGGGGAGGCAGGCTTTGAGGTTTCCTATGCTCAGGATCCTGCTCCGTGTCTCAGTCGACTTCCTGTAAGATGGAGACTCTCAGCTCCTTCAGCATCATGTCTGCCTGCACTGCACTGTGCCATGCTCCGACCATGATAATGGACTGAACTTCTGAACTGTAAGCAAGCTACCCCAATTAAATGTTTAGTTAAAGGTTTACAAGCATTTCCATGGTCACGGTAAACCTTACCTAAGACACAAGCTGTGTTTTCACAAGAACCTTCCCGAGTTCTGGTCCATCCCCTGCACTCACCCTTGTAAGCAAGGCGCAGGGAAACCACTGAAATTGACCACTCTTAGGTGGGGGGAGAAAATTTATTGGAGAACAAATTGCTGAGTTGCCTCAGAGAGTAGAGACAGCACCCAATGGGAAAAGCTTTGCCAGTTTTCATTGAGAAAGCAGCAAGCAGGAGGCAGCATGCTGGCCATTACAGCCTGGAAGTTAGCATAGGGATTCCAGGCTTTTCTGGCTAATCAGGAACTAGATGCCCTTTGCCCAAGGTACTTGGCCATTGAGTAGATTAAGGGAAGTCATAGTTTTCCTGAAAAATAGAAGCCCGCCTGGAGTGCTGAGTTTAGGTTTTTGTTTACCCAACAACAACCCTTCTGTTTACTCAGTAAGAATCCTGCCTGGTTTGTGCCCAGGCTGAACTCTCAGGGCAATGTCAGCAGCTCTGCCATTTTGGAGGCCTGCTCTGGACCCAACAGTTCTGTTGCTCTGACTGCTTCGGCTGCACATGAGCTGCTGAATTTAGAAATGCCTGAGTTGTTTGTAAACTCTCTAGGAGAGATGAGCCATGAAGCAAGTCCTTATAAATTGCTTCTCAGTGGATCCCTGCTACTAACATGCTGGCTAGCTTTATGTAAACTTGACACAAGTTAGAGTCATCTGCAAAGAGGAAACCTCAGTTGAGAAAATGCCTCCACAAGATTTGGGTGTAGAGCATTTTCTTAATTAGTGATTGATGGGGGAGGGCCCAAACCACTGTGAGTTGGTGCCATCCCTGGATTGCTAGTCCTCGATTATATAAATTATATATATAATTATAATATATATAATTTTATATATTATATTTTATATAATATATAAAAGCAGGTCACCAAGCCGTGATGAGCAGGCCAGTAAGCACCCCTCCATGGCCTGGGCATCAGACCCAATCTCCAGGTTCCGGCCCTGTTTGAGTTTCAGCCCTGACTTTCTTCAACGATGGACTAGAATGTGGAAGAGTACGCCAAATAAACCATTTCCTCCCAAACTTGCTTTTGCTCATGGTGTTTTCATCACAGCCATCGTAACCTTAACTAAGACAAAAATTGGTCCGAGGATAATGGGGTGTTGCTGTGACAGACATGGCTATATTGTCTTGGGGAAGATTGTGGAAGGACTTTGTGTCTTTGGGCTGGAAAAGCCATGGAGTCTTTAAAGCTTGGTGAGCTGTTCTGCAGGAATGCGGAAGCTATGGGTTTTAAGAGAAAAACAGAAGATGGAGGGCTGGCTTATGAAGTTCCAGAGAGTCACTCAAAGACTTTAAGGGAACCAACATATATTTTGAGTTGAGAATCTGTGGTTCTGGTTAGCTAGGGCTGAATGGTTGGCTGTGATTAAGAAGACGCCAGAACAACTGATGTGATACCTTAGCTTTGCTGGGATAATTGATGCTGGTCAACTGGAGCCAAGAAACTGTGGTGATTAAGAAGAGACCAGCATCACTGAGGTGAAATCTTCTGGGAAGTGTTTCCTGAGAGTCAGCACACAGAAGTTGTGTTCCAGAGGTGGTCATGATTGTCCCTTGTGCTGACAGCCAAACTTGGTAGTGTCAGAGTCACCCGGGAGGTGTGGAAGGCATGAAGGGATGGTGGAGAGCAGCTGATGCTTGGGCCCTGTGAGAGTCCAGGAGAGGCCACTGGCCAAGGTGCAGGCAGTGTAGCGATTGAAAGCCCAGGACTGAAGGGGTCACGCCGAGAATTTGAAGCTCGGCACCATGATGAGAGCCCAGGAGAGGCTATTGATGAAAGTGCAGCAGGAGATTCCAGAATTTTGGAGATGCCAGAACAAAGGGATGACTGCCAAGGCCAGCAGCAGGGGTGGGATGGAGCAGTCAGCTTAGACACAAGCCCTTTGGAGGACCGTGCCCTGGTTCTTCCCTCTCCAGCAGAGAAAGAGGCCTTTAAGTCAACAAAGATACAAATGCTTAAACAGGCAAATCAAAAGAAATTAAAATTGCTAGCAAGTGTAAGAAATATTCAGGTTGTGAATATGCCAGGTTGTGCTGGCACACATCTTTAATCTCAGTGCTCAGGAAGCAGAGACTGGTGGGTTTCTGTGAGTTCCCAGAACAGCCAAGGCTATACAGAGAAACCCTGTCTCAAAAAAAAAGTAAAAGAGAAAAAAAGAAATATTCAAAATTATTAGCAAATAGATGCAAATTAAAACATTTCTTTTTCAAATAGGCAAAACTAGAAGAATAAATTGGCCATTGTTGCAGCTTGGTGCTGTGTAACACTTTCATACACAGTTAGTAGAGTATATGTTACTGAAAATTCTGGACAATCATTGGCTGTGTGAATTAAGAACTTCAAAAATCTTTATTTTTTTTGTCTTAGATATTCTACTCTATAATTAGAATTCTAAGATTTATATTTGTGAATTTTTACATTATGGTGCTATTTATAAAAATTGTAATAATATAATTAGACGACAGTGAAATGAATTATGACCCATCAATGGGCCATTATAAATGAATGCCGGCTTTAAAAATAACTTCTGAATAAGGGCTAGAAATAGAGAGACACACCTTTAATTTCAGCAGTCAGGAGGTGGGGGTGGGTGGATCTCTGTAAATTCAAGGCCAGCCTGGTCTACATACTGAGTTCTAGGACAGCCAGGGATCTAGAAATGGACACTATCTCATAAAAACAAGAGCAACAAAATTCGCTTCTGTGGTGTTTTCACTTTTAGGCGCCTAAGAAGAAAGCACAGACAAGAGTGTGTTTCACACAGGTGTATCCCTAGGGAGAACCAGGCAGAACCTCACGGTTCCAGGAGCCAAAGCCACTGAGTTAGAATAATGATGCACAGTCAAACATTTGAAGTTTAAATGCTTGTTGCAACTCGAAGTTTTCTCCAACAAGTCACCAGCCAGCATAAGTACACGAGATTCTTCTTCAACACCTTTATTATTATTGTATGGATGAAGGTGTGTGTGTGCCGTAAGGAATGTGTGGAGGCTGGAAGACAATTCTGTGCGGTTGACTCCCTCTTTTCACCCGTACGTGAGGTCCAGGGGTGAAACTCAGGTGACCTTGGACTATTGCCTCCACCCCCCAACTGTTTCGATTGCAAGCGTGCAACCAACACCCTTGGCTTATTGCTTCAGTTTTTGTTTTGTTTTGTTTTTTTGTTTTTTTTGGGGGGGGTTGTTTATTTGTTTGTTTTTTCCAAGACAGGGTTTCTCTGTAGCTTTGAAGCCTGTCCTGGAACTGGCTCTTGCAGACCAGGCTGGTCTCAAATTCACAGAGTGAGTTCTCTGCCTAAAGGTGTGTGCCACCACCACCCGGCCTGTTGCTTCAGCTTTATCTTCAAAAGATAAAATGTCAAATAGATTTAAAGTTCAGTACGCCTGCTTGCTTCTGAGGCACTCTCACTTAAAACTGGATTTATTATAAGAAATTATAGCTTAATTCTTAAGTGTTAGGGATTTCTGGTATTTAAAATGCAAATGGATAATGATGCACTTTATGTATTTAGGAATTTCAGCTGTGAAAAATTTTAATGGATGAATTATGGCAGTCAGAAGAAGCAAGACATTTGGCCCATTTTTTTTAACCTTTGTCATTGAACCTCTGAAAGATAATTGTGAGGGAAAATTTTTTTTTTCTGTTAAAAGTAGTTGGTCTGCCAAGGGCCAATATTCCATAAATTTCTCCAACCTTGTAAAATGTTTATGCAGATCTTTGCTCTCCGCCACCTGGTAAAACATCATTTACACAAAGACTGGATGAACCACATTCCCAGGACTTGATGGACTGAAGTGGGCAGCTTCTTCCCCTTTCTCCTTTATTCCATTGTGCCATTTTTTCTTATTTTTTTAAAAACTATTCTTTTATTATTTTATGCGTGGGGGTGTTTTGCTTGCGTGTGTGTCTGCATGCCATATGTGTGCCTGGTGCCTGAGGAGGCCAGGAGAGGGCATTGTATCACCTGGAACTTAAGTTACAGATGCTTGCGGGTCGCCATGTGGATGCTGGGATCTGAACCCAGGTCCTCTACAAGAAGAGTCAGCCATCTTAACTGCTGAGCCATCTCTCCAGCTCCCTGCACTGATTCTTTTAAAGTCAGCCAATTGTGAAAGATTGACAGGTTGGACCTCAGCCAGTTCCGGGGTAGGACAGCTGCATTAGAATAAAAACCAAGTGAACTTGTTCTGGTGTGATAGCGAGTTCTAGCTATGTCTTACAGAAAGAAATTGCCTTGATGTGGTGTTTTCAGTGAGGATGGTCCCCAGAGGCTCATATACTTGATGTTTGACCATCAGGGAGTGGAGCTGTTTGAAAGGATTAGGGGGTGTGGCCTTGTTGAAGTAGGCATGGCCTTACTGGAGGAAGTGAAGTGTGTCACTGGGGGTGGATAAGGACATAGCTCTCGTCTATGACTCTAGCACCATATATACCTGCCACCATGTTCCCCACCATGATGGTAATAGACTAAGCCTCTGAAACTGTAAGCAAGCCCCCAGTTAAATGCTTTGTTTTATAAGAATTGCCGTGGTCATGGTGTCTCTTCACAGCAGTAGAACAGTGACCCAGGCGGCTCCTTTTGCTTTGCTGTGCGTTCTTTGTGTCACACTGAGATTTTCTTTGTGTCTAACATACCAAACACCCACTGGACGTGTGGAATTTGCTTTTGACTATTGTTCTGCAAACACTTCAAGCGGTTAGCAACTATAGACGGAATGATTTAAAACTTAACAATTGAGTATGGTGAGACAGCTCAGTGGGTAAAGGCGCTGCCTTTGCTTGCCGAGAAGAGACCACCACTCCAGCTGAAGCGTCTGCACAGGGCAAACCTGACTGTTGGTCAACGGGGTGTATTCAGAAGGGAAGATTAGTCACGCACTGACAGAAAGTACCCTGGGTTTGTAGTCTAACTCAGGTGGCGACTCTGCCTTTTGCCATTGGCAGGGGTCTGACCTTGCAATCCTACGGGACCGGCTGGTCTAAAAAGTTGGTTCACAGGAAATGGAAGAGGAAGGGGAAAGGGGGCCATTGCTACAAGGAGAAAAGGGTCAGTGTTCCAGGCCATCAAATTCCTGGAATGCAGCAGAGGCCTTTGTGCAAACAAAGGTTTTACTGCTGGAGCAGATGAAAACATTGGCCTAGAAGCTTTACAATGTGGGAGAGACAAGAAAATTTGAGTTTCTTGTCCTAAACACAGGTTTTACAGTACTTGTTAGGGAAGACTCATATTTAATATTTCTCACACCACCAAACATGATGACCTAAGTTTGACCCACAATCTGTAAGGAGAGAACGGACTCCCCAAAGTTGTCCTGTCTATCTCCATAGGCATGCCAAGGCAACAGCATACATGCTCATTCTCTCTTACACACACACACACACACACACACACACACACACACACACACACAATCAGTAAGTGTAAAAAAAGTTACAATTGGATTAGCAATCTAAGAGAATGATCATAGACAATAGCATTATGTTTTCTTAAGATTTGCTAAGTCAGAGATAGCACAACTGTCTTAGAGTCTGGCTGAAAGATTCTGATCCTCTGATCCCCTGAGCAGCCAGCCTGTAATCTGGGTTTTATGGTCCTTCTGTTGCTCTTCTGATATCCACCATCTGGACACCACCAGAGAAGCCAGGTGCAGAGCACATGATCGCAACCAGGACAAAGGGCCTTTCAAGAAAATTGACTTTAAAGTGTCTAAAAGTATGATGACCAGATTGAGTGGTAGGGAACAGGGTGGTAGTGGTGGTGGTGACAGCAGCGGTAGTGGTGTTCTGTCTCTCCCGCTCTGTGTGTGTGTGTGTGTGTGTGTGTGTGTGTGTGTGTGTGTCTACTCCCATGCATGGGAATGTCATTATGCATTGTGTCAGAATGGTTTGATTCTGATTCTAAAAATGCTTCATATGTTAAAGGCTTGGCTGCCAGCTGAAAGTTTTTTATGATAAATCAATGAACCTTACAAGCTCTGATTTAATCAATAGATTAATCCTTGGAATTCTTACTGAATGAGTTATTAAATGAGCTCTAGTAGGAAATAGATTGCCAGGGGAATGCTCTTAATAGACGTATTTTTGTCCTGTCCCTTGTTCCTGTGCATCCTGTCTGCCATGAGGGGAGACACTCTGTTCTTCCATGTTTCCCACCACATTTTGCCTCACCATGCATAGGCCCAACAGCAGAGAGTCACATGACCACTCACCGAAGCATCTCAATACACAAGCCCAAATAAGCTTCCTTCCCTTAAGACATTTTACTCAGATATTTTGACATAGTGACAGAAAGTGACTAATACAGACCCAGCAGAAATATTACAACAAAGAAAATCATTAAATCAATAATTTTGTATGGATATAACAATTACTGAGTGAACCAAGGTATTAGGTATTACTACAAAATTTATAAGGGGAAGGATAGACATTAAGACATTCAAGGAAGGGGAAATACAGTACAGTGCTCTAAGGGATGAAGGGGAAGCTAGAATAGGAGGGATAAAGGGGCAGGGCTAGGAGGACAGGGGAGGAAGGGGTGTAGCAAGGACAGCTAACTGTAAAGACCTTTGAAAAAGTCACTTGTAGCAGCTTGAGCGGTGGCTCAGCTACTAAGAGTGCCTAACGCTCTGGCGGAGGACCCTGGCGCTAATAGCGATCGATACTAGATCGCTATCAATAATTGGGGAAAAAAAAGGGGCTGGAGAGATGGCTCAGTGGTTAAGAGCATTGCCTGCTCTTCCAAAGGTCCTGAGTTCAGTTCCCAGCAACCACATGGTGGCTCACAACCATCTGTAATGAGGTCTAGTGCCCTCTTCTGGCCTGCAGACATACACACAGACAGAATATTGTATACACAATAAATAAATAGATTTTTAAAAGAAAAAGAAAAAAAAATGAAAAAGTCACTTGTAAACCTAGTGCTGTAGAAACGTCCTAAAATATATATGCATATACAAGGAGTTTAAGTGGAGCTAGCATATCACGGCAGGGGGACCGAATACCTCACCTGGGCGTCATTTGCTACCACATAAAATCCCCAGCACTAGGAATGAGTTACATCTTTTCAAATTAGTGGCCAAAGAGGTTCCATAGACCCCATAAACATTGCAAGCTATTGTTAACGCTATTGGTTATCCTCCACAACTTGACAGTAAGACCCTATTGCTGAAGATGACACATGCTTACAGGGTACTGAGGAACTGAACTGGTATTTAACTGGAAACCTCAGTCCCACCAGCTAGAGCTCGTGTATCAGCCCTTGGTGCTGTTCTTAAAGTTTGCGCTTGAGAAGTCCGCTCCTATTTCTACTGCTTAGGTCTTAAAATCCCCTAAGCAAGGATTCCCATGCGTGCGCCAATCATGGTTATGGGTCTATAGGAACGAAGCAGGGAGAAAATGATTGGAAATATTTGATACATTTTTATTTTAATGAGCCAGACGGATAACAATGGAAATGCTAGCTATATACATTGTCTAAGCAAAATCATTCACTTGCACGTATGCTTTATTCAACACGATTTTCCCTATCCTGCATTTACATGCTAAAACAAACTATTTTCTTTCTCCGGGATTATCCTAATGAAAGAGTTTATTCAGCAGAGAGAATAGAAACGTGGACTGTGTGGTAGTAAACACAGTGTTTATAGACATAACAAGTTACATTCTAACCCCTTGCAGAGACGACAGTAAAGCAGAGCCCCACATTTTCATAAGCCTTTAGTTTATGCTCGCATCTTGAGCTGTTTACTGTCTTCCAAACACCAGCCTCGAGAACGGCACCCCCAGAATTTCCGCGAGATCAGCTCTCATTGACTAAGTCAGCCAGTGAATGGGGTTCAGAAACCTGGACGCCGCTGACCTTCGTCCTTTTATTTTTGGTTATTATGTTGCAGGCTTCCGTTTATTCTTACTCACTGGTAAACATGGAAATCAGCTTCAAATTTGGATGAGCCAGACCCCCCTCGCTTCTTAAGATCGTTTGCTTGTTTTCCTTGTTTAGCAGATAGTTCAAAAGTGCTTGTTAGAGGGCGGCTTTATTAGGCAAAGTGGCTCAAAATGAAGAAGTCTTTCACTCAGTTCCGGTACCTTTTTTTTTTTTTTTAAAGTCTGACCCAAACGGAAGTGAGTGTGAGGTGAATCTCAATCTCAGGAACTTGAAGTAGAACAGAGATGAAACTCGAAGCAGGAAGCAAAATAGTATCAAGCTATTGGATGGAGACACGTTTGTGTCATGTGAGTAGACATGACAGAAACAGCTTTTCTTAAATTATTTGTGGCAATCGTGGTCACATTCATTTTAGTCTTGCCAGAATTTTTCAAGACACCCAAAGGTAAGTAAATTATCTACACTTGAGCTCTCCTTTCTTACTTTAGAGCAATGGTGGCAGACAAGATCTTGAGCTGTTTTTTTGGGTGTACGCTGCGTGAGCTGAAGTTCAATGTCTGAAATACCTTTAAGTAAAGTTAGACCCCAATTTTAGTTGCCTGTTGTCTAGCACAGTGACCTTAGCACTTAGTTATGGTTGCAATAGAAAATGAAAAAAAGAGAAATTTAAAATCTGCATTTAGATTCCAGCTACAGGATTTCAGATAATACCGTTACATGAGTTTATTCTTTGAATCTGTTTCCTTCTTTGAAATAGTCGTGTGTCTGTTTTTACATTCTGGAACTATTTACTAAGGAAAATGACACTCATTTTAAAATGATCAAATTCATTTGCTCACAAGTTGATGCAATTAATTTACTGGTAATTTTTTAAAAATAGTAGTAATTTTAGTATTTTTAATATACAATAAAAAGCAGATAGGTCCAAATACAAGCAGTTCGGTGTGGGTTTGTGAGCAGTGGGAACGGGGCGATTCTGAGAGCCCTTTAAAGAACTCTTGCATGATGATGGAAACTTCAGGATACAGAAGCAAAGACAAGGGGATTAAAACTATTTATGTGCCATTGAAAGATTGGAAAGCACGCTATTGTGGATGCTTAAGTGATAATTGTGCTCGTTAGCGCTTAATAAGAAGAAAAAGAAAAAAGAAAACGTTCTATGACTAAATAAAAGTCTATAACTTTATTAAAACTAGAGAAAAACTTATATTTGATAGCTTGCTGCAATGAATATTTATTATTGCATATATGCGAAGCTAAGTATTCAGATAAAAATACTTTTGCTAATTATATTTGATGACATACTGCAATGATTATTTAATGTTGCATATTAAATGATGCTAAGTAGCCAGATAAAAATATTTTTGCTAAATAAACACTGCAACTACAATTTTAAGAAGGATTGAATTTAGAATTTTTTCTTTTGGTTTGACTTTTTTATATTGCCTAGATTAAGCAAGCATAGTGTATATTTTTGATGCTTATTTTCATTGGCTGAAAATGTATCCTAAAGAAAACACAATAAAGAAAACCTGTTTTTAAGATATTTTGGGCAGAGGGTAAAATCACGTTTAGTAGTTATCTAAGCCAGGCCTTCTCTGTGTTTATATACCTATTGCTTTGAAAAATGAGTTTGCATCTAGTGAAAATCAGGAAATTGGCATACACTGTCTGCTCGGTTGGAGTGTTCTGTGAGAGGCGGTAACTCTAGGAGTTTACCACCGGCTGTGTGGAGGACAGAGGAGGTGTGCTTTTGACTTCCCATTTGTGTTAGAGTGTGACAGCAAAATCCAGCACAGAGCAAAGGAAGTCAGAGAGCAACATGTGTGGGGTGGAGGAGGGGCAGTGGGGTGGCGCGGAGTGGAGCACTAGCGTGTCTTTGAATTTGTAAACAGAAGGAAGAGTTTTTGCAGAATCCACGTCAGCTGTACTTCCTGGGCCTGACAGTGCTGTGTTTGTTCTCCATGTTGACGCGTGCCATTTAGATGTCTGTTGCTTTTGCTGCCTTCCCAAACTGGAAAGAGCTACTTCTGTTTCCTGGCTTTAGAATGGTGAAATTGTTTAGATATTTTGTTCCCTTATTGTGGAACAGCAAACAAAAATGCTTACAAACCATTGTCTTCTGATGTCCTTCAGTGCTGGAAGGAATCTTGCTTAAACCCACCACAAACGAAATGCTGGTTATTAGGAAAACTGTTTCACAAGTGCGAAAGTGGTATGGGAGAATTGTCTGTATTCTGTCAATCATGTTTTAAATAAACACTGATTGGTCAGGCAGGAGGTGTAGGTGAGAAAACCAGACAGGAAGTGGAAATGATGCAAGGAGAGCAGGAGAATTCTGGGGAGGAGGAAGCTGATTCCTCCCACTCCTGCCCAGATCACCGAAGCAGCAGGATGTGAGCTGCCCCACTGGAAAAGGTACTGAGCCACATGGCTAAAATAGATCAGAAAAATGGGTTAATCAAGATGAGAGGGTTCGCTAATAAGTAGCCTGACCTAATGGGCCAATCAGCTTTATAACTTACAGAGATTTCTGTGTGGTTTTTCTCTGGGACTAAACAGCTGGGGGGCGGGGCAGGACAGAAACACAAACAAGCAGGCCCTTTTTGTTACAGATAACTGTGCTTTATACTGGTCTATGGGTCATCAGGATTATTGCTATAACCGCAACAGATGTATCCTTATATTGAGGAGATATGAATACAATTATTTTGTTCCTTAATTTTGTTTTGTCTTGTTTTGTTTGGGACAGGGTCTTTCAATGTAGTCTTGGCTGTCTTGGAACTTGCTATGTAGACGAGACTGGCCTCAAATTCACAGAGATCTGGTTGTGTCTGACTCCCAAGTGCTGGGATTAAAGGTGTACACCACTACTCCTGACTATTGATATTAGTTTTTAATACCAATATGAGTTATCTTATGAAATGAATTGAATGGTCAATCAGTGCATATCATAAAGAATTTGGTACAATTATTTAGATGATGAAGTAAGATTATTCTTAAAGAAGAAAAATGAATTTTGGGATTCTCAAGGCTAATCTTAGCCTGTTAGGTACTTGTGTACTTTCTACATATTGTATTACTCTATTCACTTTAACTTCTAGAATAAATGTAACAAAAGGATCTAACTTATGAATTGCTCCCTGGTACCCTGTCTTTACCATGAGCTCAGAAGGAATCTCAATGTGGAACAGTACATATGAGGTTTAATATATTTGATTTCAAAACAATAACTGTCTAATGCTCCAAGTTGGAAATTCAGCATCATATCTGATCATATGTTGTCAAAATGCATCCAAGTATTGGAATAATTGTTAGTAGAAATCTTCAGTTATTACAATTACGTAGCATTGGTTATTTGGTTTAATTTTAAGAATGAGAGCTTCTTAAATATTGCTTGCCACTTAATAGGTTGCCTTGGCAGGATAACCTATTCTCCAGCAATGTTCTGAAAGCCCCAGTTAGTTTAAAAGGCAGCCAGCACACAGCAGTTGATGACCAGTTTGACCCTCTTAAACCGTGTGTACAGAATGGAAATGCAGTTAGGGAAGAGAATATTTTGATTCCGTTTCTTACAACTGAAGACACAAGTTTGTTCCCAACTACATCATCACCGATCTGCTTTGGTTGGATGTAAATTTAAGAGAGAGCCTGGGGGAGAGGACTGGAGAGCTGGCTCAATACTTAAAAGCGTAAGTCCTTCATAGGACCTGGATTCGATTCTCAGCACCCACATAGCAGCTCCCAAACGTCCGTAGTCCCAATGGATCCAACACCATCTTCTTCTGGATTCCATAGCCACCAGGCATACACATGGTACACAAACATTATACATATAACATTTGAAAGGGACACTTGATTAAACCTTAAGTTGACCCCAACGGTCTTTGATTGATTCTTGCACTTGGCCACAGTGTGTCCTATGCTGGGAAGGTGGGGCTACCTACGGGAAAGGCAGACTCCTAAGGAGTCTCCATTCATGAAGAAGACTAGTTGTCAGGTAATTAAGAACAACCCCGCAGAGAGTAAGACGGGTTGTAAAAGGGTGTTGTGGGAACTTTCACGTGGCTTCCGGGCCTGCGCTGAGAAGAGGTTTCTTCTGTTCCCAGTTGCCAAGAAAAAGAATAACTTGGCAGAGTTCAGATAATCCCCCACTATTCTTCGTGCCTGCAGAAGCGCTTTCAAAGAGAAGTCATGATGCCTATTGATTTTCAAATAAAATGCTCTCATATCAATATCTCAACGCTTTATAAGAGCGGATGCAGCGGGGCCCAGCAGAGATCTGCAGAAAACGGGACAAGAGCAGTGCAGATGAAGACTCGGCCAGCCTGACGCCTCCAGTTGTTTGATGTCGCTCACTTTGACGAGTCAAACCTGCAGAAAGAGTTCACCCGCTTTCATTTTCTCTCCCGTGGTACACTTTCTGGTGGGAATGGGAATATAACGAGCAGTAAAACTGAGTGAAACTGAGGATAAAGAACCTTGACTTGTGAATTATAGGACAAATCTCAAGTCCATAGCAAGTCTTCACTATATTTATGTCTCTATTATTAGAGGCAGTGTGTGGAGGGGGCTGCAATGGATGAAATGTCACTCTTGCTCTCGAACTGGGAACTTCATTTTCTTCTTATTGACTTCTTCATAAAAATTGAATCAGTTATCCCCAGTAAGGCTTAGGATCTATGCCTATTTAAATTTTGAGCTGGCAGAGGTCTCATTGGGTTGCCCAGGATATTCTCAAATTCTTAGGCGCAATTAATGCTCCCACGTAAGCCTCCCAAGTGTTGAGATGACAGGTGTTTACTATTGCATCTGGCTCACAATTTAATGTGTGTGTGTGTGTGTGTGTGTGTGTGTGTGGTGTCTGTGGAGGCAAGAGGTCAATGCCAGACATCTCCTCTACTACTCTCTACCGTAACTATTTCAGACAGGGCCTGTCACTGAACCTGAGCTTGTGAATTGACTTGGCTGATTTTCTAGTAACCTCTTGGGATTCTGCTTCCAACCTCCAACCCTAGGGTTACAGATGGGTACCGCCATGCCTGGTCTTTATGAGTGTGCTGGGTACCCAAAGTCAGGTTCTCATGCTTATGTGGAAAGCACTTTAATGACCAAGTCATCTCCCTAGACCTTTGGCTCAGATTTGTAAACATTTTAACAGATGTGTGCATCTACATACATCAAGTACTGGGCTAAATATTTTTACATGTAATTCATTTCTAACTGATTCAATATTTCAGCTCAATGACTGGGAATGTAGGTCAGTGGTAGAACATGTGTTTGGCATGTATGAGGCTCTAGGTTTGATCTTCATTATGCATGAATGCACACACACCTACACAGACACACACACACACACACACACATACCACAGTCATTGTGAAGCATTACTCTCAAGATACACTAGTCTGAGACTCTCCATAAAGAAGGACAAAGACCAGATGGAGAAGTTGGTTTTGTCCTGGCATTGCCGGGCTTTCTGCATCCCTCTGGTTTAAGGTGCTACAAGATGGCTTGCTACCGTTCTACATTTTCGGCAACATGTGCTAACAAACGTGCCGAAGTCAAATGTGTGCATTTCTGAAAACTTGGCTTTACTGGCTGAGCCGTGAAGTTGTGACACCAGCAGCCTTTGTCTGGGATGCTTCTAGCTGTCTGTCTCCTTGGGTGTTGGGGGCTGAGTGTCAAATGCCTGTTTCTGTTGTTTTTGTAGAAAATATGACATTTCCTTTAAAAATTATTTTTATTTATACATATAACCACTGTACTGTGCTTATATCTCTTTTCACTCTCCTGCCCACTGTTCTTGTCCTTCCCTCTTCATGTCACCTGTTCCTCCCATTCACCCTTTAGACTTCTGTGTGCCACATCACGTAGTCTCCTTGTAGCCTCATGTCCCATACATATACGTATTAGAATCTGGAGTCTCTATGTCAGAGAGAAATGCGGTATTCTGAGCATCTGTTATTTTGCTCAGCATGATTTCTTTTTTAATTAATAAAATGTTTTTATTCTGTGTTTTTCACATCATGTATCTTGATCCCATTCATTCCCTGACTCTTCCACATCTGCCCTCCACCCCTGTACCCTCGAATAAAAAAAAAATTCAAGAGAAAAAAAATGAAGAAAATAAAGGAGAAAAAATTTTAAAAGGTTGGGGGAACGAATTAAACATATCATAATGGAAGCTGTAGTGAGACTCAAGAAATCATGCCGTATACTCCTTGGTACATACAACTGTCCTTACAAGTGTTCATTGCAAAGATCCATTGGTCTGGTTTGAGGCTCCGGAATTCCACTACATGTTCAATGCTGGCCACCCCCAGGACTCTTCGTGGACATTCTGTTGGTGCCCTGTGTTGTGGACATCCAGCAGCTTTGGGTCTGTGGGTCAGGTTCCTTCACATGGTCCAGCAGATCGTAGATGGGATGGATGTTGGGTTAGGCCAAGTCCTAACTCTGGGTCTGGGTTTGGGCCTGGGTTTGGGCCTGGGTTTGGGCCTGGGCAGCTGTAGAGCTGGCCCACTAGACGGAAAATGGGACCTGTCCCACGCTCACTGTTTCTGGAGGGGCTCACCCACACCTCCACTAACAGGACCGGATCTGTTGTATTGCCCTGGTGGGATGCAGGGTCTGCTCTTCCGAGTATTCCAAGTGGCGATCAGGGCTAGCTCTCACACTCTTATCACCACAGGGCCAGCTCTCCCACCCATCCTAGGCATTGGTGGGCAGGCAGCGAGGGCTTCTTCCCCCCAACCCAGGCCACCACAAGACAGATAAGAAATGGGGGCAGCTCTCCCATGCTCACAACTTGGGGGCTGTCTCAACCACACCTGCTCTAACAAGGTTGACTCTGCTGTGCCTCTCTGTTGAGGTGCAGAGTCTTATCTCCTGAGTATTGCAGCTCGTGGGGGGTCAGGCACAATTCTTCTGTTCTAATGACCCCAAGGCCAGCTCTCTCACCTTCCCTAGGCATTGACTTGGGGGGGAGGGTAACATAATTTCTAATTCCATCCATTTCA